TTAAGCTGCAGCTTATGTTAAAAACAGCAAAATATTTTATTCTCGACCACCAGTTGAAGCATGCACATGTAAAAAGGGCAAGAATTCAGAAAACAAAAGATAGAAAACGCGCTTCCTGTTGAAAATGTACAAATTGAATTCAAAATTCAAGAACCTAGCTTTTAATCAAAGGAATTTCATGTTTTTTTTGACATAAAAAGCAATCATGTACCAATATGTAGGGAGGTTCTTATTTTGACAATTTATTAATTTTTATGCTCCCAGGGACTCATATTCAGGTTTGAAATAAATAACAAAAATTCTTAAGTTTAAACGTTACTCATTGAATTAAACCTTTGAAGTGAGATTTTCAATGATTCATCAATCCTTTAAGTGAAATTTGATGAAATTTTGCACATTTTGAGCTCACGTAATTAATGCAGCCTCATTTATTCCGTGGTGAAAGCCCAATTTTATTACAATGAAAATCCAGCGCCGTTAATAATGAGATAGGGACATTAAACTTGAAGAATTTTTTTGTTGTTCAACGTTAGGAGTTAGAGGAGAATAAAAATTATAAACTAAATTTTCGCAAAATAATACAACAGTAATTTTTCCGTTGTTAATTAATGCATTTATTATGTTAATGCATGATATTATTGATGATCTGAAATTAGTAGTCGTGTAAGATAAAATATTTATGCATATAACTGTGAACAAACGTTATGAATAAAGATAATTACGAATAAAGTCTTAACTAATAGTAAACAACTTACCGAGTAAAATTGCAGGATTATAAAACACATTAAACCATAACGACATAGATACTCCAATCTGTTATAACTATAAACACAAATTTTTAGAAAAATTTCCCGATAAAACAGTGGAATTTTCACTAAAATTCGTTAATTTTCCAGCGATCGTTCGCGCAATACCCTCTTTACGACATACTGAGCTAGTATACGTATCAACGCAGTCGTCGCTTGAAAGACTGGTGGCGCCCTATGTATTATTACGGAGAGCTTTTAAACTACTGCTTGAAACCGAAAAAATGAAATTTAAAACAACAAAATGATATTAACAATATTAATGATTAATTCATCACAAGAATAAAATTATAATGTAAATGTTTTTTTACGTCTACATATTATAAATCGTAAGCATAATTTCTTGTATTAATTATATCAAAGATAAAATAAGTATAAAAAAATTGGTCTGAGCACACTTTGGTCGGTGCTAATACGACTAACTTCCCATTAGATAATACAGTTATTGTAAAGTACATTCGTTTCTAAAGTTTGAAAAAAACGCGGCACAATAATAAATAACAAACAATGTTTGAGAGTTCGTCATTTTATAAACCCATAAGAAACAGTATTTCGTCTGAGAAAACCGAATTGATAGAGTACTTGCATCAGTCAATTGGTAAATACTATTTTTTATTGTTTATCGATTGTTTATAACAATTCATTTTGTTATAAACAAATTTTTATTATAATATGTTATTATAATATGTTATTCCCTGTCTTGAATAATGATATTTCGTTATTATTGATTCCGTAACTTCATTGTTGTGATTAGATTAGAACGTATTTTAATTAAATTGTTTGTAATTAATTCGTTTTTTTTTTTATAAAAAAAAAACGGCTTGACCGATTTCGTTCAAATTTCTTTCAGATCTTCATTATGATAATATCTTTCGAAAAAATTTTGGTTGAGGGCGATATCTCAATCCGTTCTTGAGATATCGAAAACGAAAAAAATGCTGACATACGAACGTACGTACATACGTACGTACGTACNGCAAGTGCATTTTGAAGAGCGAAAGATTTATTTGCACCAAATACAGAACTTTACGATTTCTTCGACAGCTAAAATGGAAACAGAAACTCATTTTTCATCGCGAACAGCGATCGATCTGAAGTTAGCTTTTCAGCGGTTTGTTACGAGAATATTTCAAATCAAAGATAAAATATCTAATACAATACTTTAAGAAACTTTAATAATAGTATTTAGTATTTAATATTGATGTGAAAATTCATTAATTATCCACTACAAATTATCTCAAATTAATGAGGAAAAATTACTGCTGCTGTGTACACCCTCGCCGGGACTTGAACCCGAGACTTTCGGATTTATGCACCAATGCTTTCACTACTAAGCTATTAGAGGTGACAGAAGAAATCGTGACAAAATGTACTTATTAGACGACAGATTCAAAGTGTATATTAATATCATATGAAATACTTTTAGTGGTGGTTAATATTTAATATTAATGTGAAAATTCATTTGATTTTTGTCCACTACAAATTAACTCAAATTAATGTGGAATAATTATTGCTGTTGTCACATTTGTTTAAGTGAAGTTATAAAAATAATTTAAAGTGAGTAAGCACCAGTATAACAAAGAATATTCATTTGATGAAAAAACGTAATAGTCAGATATTTAAAGTATCAAGTTGTTTATTATACTTTTACATTCAGATTGTTTTTTTTTTTGTATCAGACAAATGCATGATAACCTTCCACAACGTAAAGATTGTACATACACACGTGTATACAGTAATATCGAGCTGGAGATAAGGCGACTGCCTTATCCGATCATAAAAAACGTCGTTGTCAGAATGGAGATGAACAAATATTTCTTAGTGTTTACGAACAGGAAATTACTATAAATGAATAAATTTCTTAAACGCAAATGTAGTAAGGCTTAATACAAATAGTGATAAACATTTTCATTTCAATTTAATAGATACTTCTGTACTTTTGAAATTTGAATTATGAGTAAATCTTGGTAGCAAAAGTTAGTCGTAAATCAATTCAAATTTCAAAAGTATTTTACTATATCAATAACGTGAATAAGTATGAGTTTACAGTTGTTTAATACTTCGACCCTTTAAAGCAGTGGTTGTTAACCAGTGGTCCGCGAACCACTGGAAAAACAAATGAACATTACAAGCAATTTGAAAAACTTAAAAAGTGAATTCAATCGCTATTTTCTTGATTGCGAGGACAAAGGTATTCGGAAAATTGTCTAGAATCCTTTCATTGTTAACGTTTCTAAGGTGCCTGATAAAATTCAAGAGGAAGTGATTGAAATGCAACACGATAACAACCTGAAAAATACATTCGGAACAGGAATTAATCTTGAATATTTTTAGAGTCAAAAAGCAACTTGTTTCCCAATGATTCGAGAAATTGCTATACCTAATCCAATCTAACTTTATTTTCAACATATTCATTGGGAGTATGAGTTTTAGAAATTCGAAAAAGATTGTTAAAGATGTATGTTTGTAAGGGGGCGTTGTACGGGTGCGAAATATGGATGGTGGACGCGGCGGAAAAAAAAACAGTTAAAAGCGTTCGAAATGTGGTGTTACAGGAGAATTATGACTATACCGTGGATAGAGAAGGTTAGGTATTAGAAAGAATAGGAGAACAGAGGACTTTATGGAAGTCAATAAGAAATAAGCGAGACAGGTTGGTAGACACCTTTTCAGGCATGACAGGCAGAAACAGGAGTTAAGAGGAGTAGAGGTAGACCTAGATTATGTTACTGTTTGCAAATAATTGAAGATGTGGGATGTTTTAAGGAAATGCGTAGATTAGTTCAAGATAGGAGAGAGTGGAGATACAGGTCCAACCAGTCGTAAGACTAACGACCATAAGGTGATTACGAGGGGTTTTTGGCGTTTCTGATAATTAAAAATAATCATCGAAATCGGTTGGATGTCAGTGTCGACATGGCGTTTGGTTTTGAGTAACACTGAAGCAAGGATTCAGAAGTTAGTAAAGAGTATGCAGTCACAAAAATCGCCTTAAAATAGTATGCTTATCTCTGTAATAAAAAATTAAAGTATTGTCGACTTTAAACGATTTAGTATGTGTTTTATTTATAGATGGAACGAGCCTTTATTCATTTACATTTACTGTATATCATCTCCAAACAGTTGATGATCCATGGTAAGACAGAAATTTTATGGAGTGACCCCTCATCACTTAAAGTTTAAAAACCACTGCTTTTAAGAAGTAAAACCTTTTTTGATCGATTAAAAGCTAAATAATAATAATTACCATCGGCAATTCCCAAAGAGTGCTATCAAAAAATTATAGCAATCCTAAAAATGTAAATGTACTGGAAACACTTAGAAAATGTATTGCTTAAGCTGCAATTAATGTTTTTTAAAGATTTACTACATGGAATACTCAAAAGCTGCCAGTTAAAGCGTTCGAATTATAAAGAGGGAGTGAGCATTAGGATAATAAAGGATAGAAAATTCGCGTTCCAATAACAAAAGGAATAAGAATAACGTCGACAGGAAAGTTACAAACAATTTTTATATTATCTAGGTTTTTTCTTATACATATCTTATAATGTACTTAGGACTTTGATGAGGGTTGAGGGACTATTGTTTCTGTATTGTAGTCTTTTTAATTTTTTTGTTAAAAACTAAATAAAATTTCTGACTTCCAAAAATTTTGTAGCTTGCTTGTATAATACATTGTTATGTATAACCATTTCGAAAACAGAATTTCTTTAACTGACACAAGTACTTCTTAAGAAAATGGGAAACTGCAATTGTTGGAGATATCATTATGTATCGCTCCAATATTTATTAAACATTACTAGTTCTTCCCCCTGCCCCCTGCCATTTTTATTGCTCCACTATGACGTAGTGTCGGCCATCATTCTTTTCTAATTGTTGCAGTTGTCGGCCATCATTCTTCTTCAATTGTTGTCGCTTTGTCATTGACGTCGGCCATAATGGTTTTTTAATAGATAATAGTAATCAATGATTAAAATTTAAAGGAATTGTTTGTAAATAGATATGTAACGCATCGTACACTTCAGCATAAGAAATAGCTGATACTAACTTTCATTTACGTAATACTACTTTGCCCTGTGCTAACAGCACTCATATTTTTTTTATATATAATATNATTCTACCAATATTTTGGTAGTTGGATACGTAACTTAAAATAGGTAAGTAGTTAGATGGTACCATTTATTAACATACGCAATAGTATAAAGGTCTCAATACTGGATAATATTAATTTAAACATAAATACTATACAAAATAAATCTATCTTATTATTAATGCAGTCAAATGTTGTATTTATACTTATTAATTATCATTAATAATTTTAAATTTTTGTACTCTCTATTTCGCTTCCCTTGTCATAGGCGAGATTGTCAACCCCCTTTTCGTTATTATTATCACTATTACTGAAGGGAATATTATTCCATTCCTGCCGTTCTCCCGAACCAAAAATGCAGAAGAATATCCCGCAGGCAATGTAAACTGCTGCTCCAATCCAGAAAACAGTATGCCACTCAACTTGTCCAGCCTGGGGATACATACGTAAAGTCAATATTGGAACTAAGTATAGTTAATAATTATTTATTTGGGGAAATTACCGATCCTGCAGTTATGTAGCCTGTAAGCATGGGTGTAATGAACCCTGCCGTCGATCCTATACAATTAACAATTCCGTACAAGGAACCAGCAAAATTTGGAGCTAAATCATGAGAATTTTGTAAAACGGTAACAGTAGAAGCTCCATTTGAGCCTAATGATAAACTAATTAACACTATAGCTAATGTTGCATCACAGCCAACCATTGTTTGTGCTAAAAGAAATAGCCCAGGCAAGAAATGGGCTGTAAAATGCCATCATAAGTCTTACAATCAATTTAATTCAAAAAAAAAGAACAAAAAAACACGACTTACAGAACGTAACAAATATTTTGCGTATATTTGTAACAGATAATCGGTTTCTTTTCCTAACCGAATCTCCAATGTAGCCAAATATAAATCCACAAATTAATCTGGCCAGGTATGGCACCGCTGCAAGGGTACCAGAATGGCTTAAATCAAATCCAAGCACTTTGGTCATATATTTGGGCCCAATAGTAAACAAAAAGTAAAGGCCCCACAAGCTACCGAATTGTAAAACGACAAAGGCCCAAAATGGCACCGAAGAAAATATTTTCACATATGGAGGCATTTTCTGAAAAGTGGTAAATTTTATTAAAGTACATTGTTAATATTAGTCGCATAAAGGTGTTATTTTAGCTAGAATACAGTTTTATGTTTTATTATTGTATCAAAAGGCAATTATAAGTCTGGTGACTAATATTAGGAACTTTTATGCTGCTGAGGTTGTGTGCGCTTAACCTTGATCGTTCAGGCAGCAGCAGCTGACTACAACTGACGTTTTCGTTCAGTAGACGTCATAAAATTCTAGTGTTAACGTCGGAGGTTCCAATTTTTTAATAAGTAATCATATGTATGATTTTTTTTAATACCAAGCGTTTACATTAAGGGAATATTTATTAATAAATGTGTGTTTCAGTTTGTGAATATGTCAAGTGGTGTGATAGTTGCAGGCCTAGGGCTTGCAGCGGTGGGATTCGCTGGCCGGTACGTAATGAAACAGTTACCCAACGTGGCGAAAACTTTTAACGAAGCTGCAAGCAAAATTCCTAAATTCGATTCCGAAACTTTGGCAAACGCAAAATACTACAAGGGGGGTTTTGAACCACAAATGAACCGGAGGGAAGCCGCCCTCATTTTAGGTATTACTCCTAGCGCGAATAAGACGAAAATTAGGGATGCTTTCAAAAAAGTAATGGCAGTCAATCATCCTGATCGTGGTGGTTCACCATACATTGCTTCTAAAATCAATGAAGCCAAAGATTATCTTGAAAAGCATAGTAGTTCATTTTAAAAGAAAATAGAATGTAGTTTTGGACAAAAAAATTGTAATAATGTAAAAACTGTAAATAATTACCTCTTAAATATAAACTTGCAAAAGAACATTTCACCTTTTTTGTTTTTTTTTTTTGGTAATGATATTTAGGTGACCCTTAATTCATAATATTGCACATATTGTGTTTTATTTGTGACAATTATAAAAGTATGACATAGGTGTTTGACCATATTAAAATAATCCATCTTATGTTTAATTTGACTTGAAGAAAATTAAAATTGTTTAATTACCTTGGTCTTTGAAATAGTGTCTCCTATACTTTGTATGACATATTTTTTTTCGCTTTCATCGATCCGTGGATGTTCCTCGGGGGTGTCTGTCACAAAGTACCACCAGGAGAAACACCAGAAAAGTGCGATAAATCCTGGTACATAAAAGGCATACTTCCATCCCCATGATTCTATCAGTGCCCCACAAATGGGCCACGTCAATACAGTTCCCAATTGTCCACCCAGCAATGTCCCCATGAATTTACCTTTTTCGTTCGGAGGCGCCCATCGCGAAATTAAACAATGCAGAGCTGGGTAAATACCGCCCTAAATTAGAAAATCTGCATTCATTTGTGAAATGAGACGTATTTCTGAATGAAATATCGATTCAAGTAATTAAAGCGTAATGTCATAAATCAAAAATGCAATTTATTTTATAACCGAATGTGTAGGTAGTATAAAGCGACTTTTACCGCAACAAATCCGAGAGCGAATCGAATAATTATCACAGAAATGTAATGCCAAGATGCAGCGATCGGCGTCAGAAATGTTAATCCAGCTGATGCTATAGTTGTAATTGCAACCGTCTTTCTTGGTCCGAATCTCTCTGCTACGAAACCACCCGGTATGCATGTTATTGTATATCCCCAGAAATATGACCCTAAAATATAGCCTTGAATTTTGGAGTTCCAATTATAGCGCTCTCCATGCTGGAAAACACAATAAGTACATGCAAACCTTATTAAAAGTATTTATGTAATACTTTTAGATCATACTCTCTTTTTCTGCCATTTGAATTACGCCACACGCAACGATTTTTTTTAAGGTGATTATTTTCCATTTTGTCTTCAATGTGTCTAATGGATTTTACATCAGTCACTCTTTTTAATTTGAGTAAGTTGGTGGATAATAATTTTATTCCTTTGATTAGGTCTAAGAATGATTTCTGATATTTAAAAAATATATAGTGCAATTGTTTGATTAATTACAGATATTACAATTAGCCATTTCTTCGTTGACGTTATCAAAATGACGGTTAGCGAATTCAGTTGTTCAAATTTGAACTTATTAAGGAACGAATTCAGTAACCTTTAGAATTAGTTTTACTGTTTTAACCTAGTTAATAGCAAAGCTGTAATGCTTTGTTCATTAAAAATATTTAGTCATCGGTTACTTACATCTGCTGTTGCGCTGCTTTCTTCTAACGTGTTATTAAATGGTTCGTTTTGCTGCCTTTGACATTCCGATTTAGTAAGGGGTGAACTTTCAGTTCTATTTGTCATGGCAATGATGTTCATAGACATATTGGCACGTAACATGTATGTTATGAGGCATGCATTAAAAATCATAATGGCCACAATGGCTCTAGTAGGTAGTAATCCTACAACAGCACAAGAAATAATTATCTAAAAATCTGATTATATCGTTTTATTTTTATTGGTATTATTTTGAAGAGTTGACGATTCCTATGTTTTGAGTTTCCTAAAAATGTATATAGTACCACTTCCTACCTGTGATCATTTTAATGATGGTTTGATTCTGGAATGCTCCAAATAGGATCGCAACTGATTAATCCTTAACTTTCACCAAATTAGCATCAATGAAGATCATTGAAAATTTGCCAGTGAATCTGCAACAAAACAATTGCACGGTCTATCACTGTCGTTCAAGTTGATGTTCAAAAGTATGGACTTCCGCACTAAGGTATTGAACATTATTAATTGCCGTTGCAAAAATACGATTCCACTCATACAATTTTACTTTAGTGGGTATGGCTGCTAACAATATTGGTTATTAAAAATGCTATAAAAATAGTTATATAAATCTGGTCTAAATGTGCTGGTGAATGTTATAATCAAGCACGTAACTACACTTTTCCGGGATCCTTGATTTTGAAAAGTGGGAAGATAATCTTCCATTAATTAAAGGAAACGAAAGTAGTTTCAAAAAAAATATTATAGAATATCTTCACCTGAAGAAGCCAATGTTTTGGTGAAACAATTGTTGTGAACTATTAATGTATATATTTTTTTGAAACTTTACTTTCGTTTCCTTTAATTGATTATGGAGTTTCAACAAGTAAATCCTTCTACCATTAACAATCTACCATGGTGAAGAGGAATTGTTAAATAAGGATTGGACAAGCGCATCCTCAAAAATTTCATGAAGTGGACGGTTAGGTACAATTTTAGCTAAAGAAAGATAAACTTACGATTAATTCAATAGGTGCAATAAATTAACCAAATTCTTGCGCCTTCAAGGAACAAACAATAAGGACCTTTTTTATTACTCTTTGATAATGAATGTCTAATTGAAACAATTGTTAGGAAATTTTTTTTATTTCTTAACATAATTGGTTGAAACTGAATTTAGTTGAATTTTATTTGACAAGTTGAAATATTTTATTACGAATGCACAATAACTATAGGGTTGTTCGGAAAGTCATTTCGTTTTTTCCCGACAGAGGATTTAATTGTATTCTTTTGCACCCAACTACACATTTAAGCCGTATAATTTTTATATGCTTTAAGAGCTCATATAGCAAGACTTGTGTGTGAAAAATTCCAATTAATTCTACGCAGTAGTTTTTGGTTGGTGCCCTTTTAAATATGGAGAGCGATAAGCAGCATTTTCGACATATCTTACTGTTTTACTACAGAAANCTATTTATTTATATTATTTAATTTGCCCTTTTGCACCTGTTAAATAATATATTATTTTTTATCTATTGTTATTTTCTTTACGTTATTCTACTGTTATCATTTTTCGAAAATTGAGGTTACGTCTATTCGTATAATAATATAGGTCGACAGTTGTTGTCTTGTCACTCCGCGAATATTTTTGTAATGTTACCTGATGTCTTATTAATATTTATAGTTTGTGATGTGACAGTGTGCTGTGGATGTAGGTTGTCATTTGTTCTATTTATTAAGTTGATATGTTATCACATAATAAGTCATAAGAAGATTGTTGCACGTTATTATATTTTTTCTACGTGGCCATGATGTTCACTATGCCTGCGGTTGTCGAGAAAATTATAAACAAATGGTTTCAAAATGATTCATTCTTTTTTACAATGTGCAAAATATTATTGCATTACGCTCGGGTGAAGCATTAAATGATTTCTTCCTATTTTCTTACTTTAAGCCTCGACAGCAACAGGTACGGCAATAATAACGATCAATAGTGACGTATATTATTATTAATTAGTTATTTATGAATTTGGAAATTTAGAAATTAAAAGCAAATAGTAAATGAAACGTTTTGGTTAACACAATGTAAATGGGGTGGAGTTGTTGATGGTGATTGAGGAGTCGATCAATCAAGTCAACGACTAACCTTTAAGCATTGTTTATAAACCAAAAGTTATAAATAATTTTACCGAAAATAGTGTAATGATATCGATACAGTTAGTACTAAATTCGTAAGATTCCGATATTCTGAAATATAATTTAATTTTAATCAAGACAATTCTTTAATAATGTGATGGTTATACACTTTTATTTTTTAAGTATTTGACTGATTTTGAATTACTGAATAATTGATGGTTATCGTTGATTAATAAACGTAGACATTAAACGTTGCTTTTTTTATTGTTCAAACCTGTACACCACCACAACACCAAAAGCAATAACAACATAAAATAACAAATCTGTACATATTTACAATTTCGACTCCGTCAGCCAATTAAATGCTTGCGGTTTTCTATCAGCCGAAGGATTGATAGCAATGTTAATTATACTTGGTAAATGTTTTTCCTTAAGACATTCTCTCACAGCCGCTTGAACTTCCGGTATAGTTTTACAAAAGTACCCCGTACTTCCAAAAAGAGACATCATATTTTCATAGCGGCACATCACAGAAAGACTTGTTGGAGGAATCCTTTTATAGAAATCTTGTTAAAGAACCCAAATTATTTTACACATGTATCGTACTTACGCTTGAGTAGCAGGCTGAGAATTTTGAAGTTCATTAAAAGTTTCCTGATCAAGACCTCCGTAAATTCCATTATTGTTAATGATCACAATTATAACCGGTAATTTGTATCTGACCATTGTTTCCACTTCCATTCCTGAAAATCCGAATGCAGAATCACCCTCCACACATATCACTCTCTTCGAAGGTTCGTATTTTTGACACCACAGAGCGGCAGCTATTGCAAATCCTAAACCTACCTAAGAAGGAGTATAATGATGATGAACTATCAAGCTTTATCAAATTTTATTAAAAATTTACCCCCATTGTTCCAAAAGTTCCTGCATCCAGCCTGTGCCTGGCTAAATTATTTAACAGCATCGTCCTCCCTATGTCCATCGTATTGGCCCCTTCGCTTACGATCAAACAATTTTCGGGCAGCTGACTTTGTAAGTGATGGAAAACGGTGTAATAGTTTAGTGGTACCGAAGTGTCTTTTACCATTTTCTACAAGAGGAAATACTGAGTGACCGTGCATAATTTCACGGAAACAAAAACCTGTTACTTCAACTCCTAACTTGTTCTGCTGACATTTTTGTTTTAAAAGCTTCCACCAGTTGGTGTTATCTCCAAAAACAAATCCTTTTGCTTTTACTTCTTGTAGAAGTTGCCCGATGGCAGGTTTCAAATCACTAAAGATTGAAACGGTTGCCTTGACACTGTTGTTCAGCTCTTCTGAACAAACGTCGATCTGAATTATTTTGACGTCCGGGGCATATCGTGGAGGTCTTCCGAAATGCAATATCCAGTTTAGTCTTGCCCCAAAAAGAATTATTAAATCTGCTTTTTGAAGAGCAGTTGATCTCGCAGATGCTACGCAATGTGGAGAAGAATCAGAAACTACACCTAAAGAATGAAACATTGGAACCAGGAGGTATTAAAAATTATGGAGAATCAAACCTTTGCCCATTGGAGTAGCAAGAAATGGTAAATTTGTCGAATGAATAAATTCTCTTGCCAAATCTTCTGCCCTTGCATAAGCTGTTCCCTTTCCCATAATAACCAACGGTCTTTCTGCCGTAAGAAGTATTTGTACAGCTTCTGAAATGACTTGAGGGTTGGGGAATGCTAAAGGTACTTCGGGTGATGTATAGTAATCGGGGATAGAATTTGTTGGTACTCTAGCTTGGAGAAGATTTCCAGGAAAATCGAGATAAGACACTCCTGGTTTTCCAAATCGAGCCAAACGAACGGCTTTCTCTACGTGCTGGGGTATTAAGGAAACACTCGGGGGTCTCGCTGAGTATTTACAATAAGGTCGAGCTAATTCAATCTGAGAAGATAGGAAAGAGTGCCAACAAAATCTGTACAGATGGTTCTTACTGCNACATGTATGAATGAAATATTAATATACCATTTTTTTTCACTAATGTGTAGTTATTTAAAAAGTACTGAGATTTCTTTATACAAGCTAAATAAAACTATGCCAATGATGTATATTTTTCTATTTTCGTTATTGTAGCATCTGTTTTCAAATTACTTTTTTCCAACTGCATCCAATAGCTTGAATAGGGTTGATGACAAATTTCAGAAAGTCTAAAATCGCACCATTAGGGAAGACCATTTAAAAAATTTTCCGAGCCTCACGAAAGGTGTACGATTTTTGTAGGCCAACATAACATGAAGACTCATTAATCATAAATAAATTGCAAAGGCTACATCAATCTGTTTTTTTCCCTTTGACTGACTTCATTATTTTGAATGCCAAAAAATGTCTAACAAAAAGACTAATTACCAAATTAGTTACAACAGAGCCGTACGAAAACATAACACAAAGCAAGGTGGGGTGAAAGACCTTTAATCTACAAGAGTTCTCTTACTAAAAACACAGGTCGCTATTTCTAAACCAAATTTACTCATACATATAAAATTCCATTACGCAACCAGACTTGTATCGATCGATATATGTCTGCATGTTTATAAACGCACGAAAGGTTTTGCTCTGTAACTTTCATTTAAATTTGCATCCAGCTAGCAACCTTCTTCCTCCCCATTGCCCAGAATTATCCTTTGATAATTAATGACTACATGGAAATGAACAATGGTACCCACTCATGAGTTAAGGATGCAGAATGGAATGAGTAAATCCAAAGGGAACGGATGACGAATGGAAACCTTTGGCGAATTTATCTAAATCTAAATCAACCGAAGAAACATCAAAATATTTTTTCAAATATAAACGCCTGTCAATTTACGTTACGTCATTGTTACTAATATTTAATGCTCATAATCATAAAATATTACATATTGTTGCAAATTATTGGAAGAAGTTGTAAAACTTCCGATGCAAGATACATGTAGATAGGGTAGATGATCATACTGATTGCTTCACTGCACAAGTCGTGTAATTACTCTGTACTACCCTTACCTTTGCAAGTCATAGCCCTCACAACTAGAAACAGTAAAACAAAAAGAGGGGCTTGCTAGATTATACAAGCTGTCTGCATTCGCTCACCCCATCGAAGAGGGTAACGCACTCGACTCTCTCCTTCTAGCCATGGCTTTGTAACAATGATAGGTATTCCCAGAGGGACGACCCTCCGTAATATCCTTTTATAAGAATCTAAATTTTGATAAAGTAGTCGCGAATATCTTCACAGTACGTTGCTACCCACGATTTCATCAGCGAGATCGTAACAAGACTGTTAAGTATAATTTAAAGGATTTCTCACATCCGATTTCATTTAGTCTCCATCTACTCTTGGGCGCATCTTGAAAAAGTCAAATTGTAAGAGAAACTGGCTTGTTATTTTTTTTTTAAGTTTTCGTGGAAGAGGGGAAATCTTCAAAAGAAACCCAGCCGTCCGTACGACTAGGTAGTGTCGGATTCCCGAGGAAGAAGTCCTCGGACCTACCGACTAGAACCCCTATACCTCAGGCCTTTCTAGGACAAATCAAGGTCCTCTTAAGCCCTGGTTTGTTAAAGATCCAGGAATTAACTTTGATTAAATGTGACGAATTAACATTTTTCCTTTAGACTGCCTCTTTTGCACAAGGGATGATGACCATCCTACCCCTATTCTGCAAATCAAATCTGCAGGTCATGATCGATGGATGGTAGTTTTGTAATGTGTTGAAATATTTGGATGTAGAAAGGCAATAAGAGTGGAGCGTGGAGATCACATTTATCCCAATAGTCATCTTGGCGTCTATTGATTTCTTATGACATCATCGGGTTGCCAAGCGACATCGGGCGTCGGCGCGATAGTGAGCCTAAGATCGACCCCTGGGCATCCGGCGCCACCACCACAGTGCGTCGCGTAAAATGTGCTAAAAAGCACCCTCTAATCACCTCCTCCTCGAACATGGGGACCGTGCTTAGCTTTTCACCGCGAGAACGAAGACCCGTGTACTCCAGTTCATCTACTGGTGATTTTACCCTCAACAACTTCTCCTATGAGCAACTGAATAATGCCAAAAATCGCGAACTCAAACTCCCAAACTCAGCATCCAGCCAGAATCTCCAAAACAACAACTGCAACAACATTAACAACAACGACAATGCGCGGATCATATCGGAGAAGAACGCGCTCGAGAAGAATCTTAAGAAGCATTCGCTTTTCATCAACGCCCTGTCATGGAAGAAGTTTTCCACCGCAAACAACAACAAGAAGAAACTCGACAACAAGAACAAAAATGTCACCGTTTTCAGGCAGCCACTTCTCGATAACGTCGTCATCGACAAGAACAAGAACCTCAACTCTAACAAGCAGCAAGGTGGTTACAATTATTCCAACTGCCGTAGCACGGGTACTTCGACATTAGCCCTCGACATTGTGAGAACCAATAACGCCAACAACACTAATAACCACCATGCCAACTGCGAAAAAGTGTGCAATAAGCAAACGGCTCTTTTGAATCAGCATTCCCATTCCCAAAACCAAAACCAGGTCGTACCAGTACAGGTTCCGAAAAAAACCGTGATACAAGCCTCTACCTCTGAACTGTTAAAGTGTCTCGGTATGTATTTGCACACAAAATGTTACAAACTTCGGGACTTCCAAGCTGGCGACGCTGTAATGTGGTTGAGAACAGTTGACAGAAGCTTACTCTTGCAGGGCTGGCAGGTTAGTACAAAAAATGCAAAATAACGAAACGAAACATTCCACTATTTATTTGAATAAGATTTTCAAAAGGAATTGCAATTCCTAATCAATCTATCGTCCTGCCGCCTCGCACCCAAACTTTTACCCAAACGGTTTCTTTTGATTTTTGAACATAAAATCATAAAAATCAAAAATTGCAATAAAAGTTGATTCGATCAGGTTCAATTTATTGATTTAATGTTCACGTTTCTTCATTTAATAACAGGCATCTTTCTGTTCTCAAGCTTAAAGATTTTTAGACGGTTAGATTTAAAATGCCAAAGGTGAAATGAATGTAATCATTATCCTACAAATTCCAAAGTTCAAACAATACAATTTATCTTCATACAAACGATAAATTACCTACAATTTAGGGTTTATGTCGTATGTATTTACATTTCATTCGATTTGTAAAATTATCTGTTGAATTTCTAAGTATTTTAGAATATTAACTATCTTTTCGACCGATTTAGACCTTCGCATTGATTACCTTTATTTCTACCTAAACCAAAATCCAATTAAAGTATTCGGGTTTGTCGTTCAAATTCAACACAAACCTGTGAAACCTCTTACGTACTTAATGGTTATTTGAAGTAAGTCCATTATTAATGAAGGCATGCGACACTATTGATTTTTTATCGGTATTGTAAACAACGTGGACAAAAATATAGGTTTCTATTATTAATATCCTATTTATGTATGCAGAAATTGAATTTGATGAATATGTTGATTACTCTGTTGCGTTTTTGATAAGAATGAGTTATTTTATTGTTTCTAAAGGGAACAATATAAGGATCAAGTTGTAAATTTTAATAGAATCTTAGTTGGGCATAAATGTATCATAAAAAAGACAAATCTAATGAGAATAAGATTTTAGCTTTTAGGACTATCATGCAGTTGACCCATATCTTTATTGAATTAAAAATGATGCTTCAAAACAATAAAACATTACAGTCCAAAGTTCAAATTAATAAGTTAAACTGCGTTTCGGCATACAAGGAATCATCCTCAGTAAGTAAGAGACTGAGACTTCGTTTGATTTTCTTATATTTTTCAAAAAATTGCATTTTCTATTAAACTAGAACCAATACAAATTTGACTTCCAATATGCACGGGTTATAGCCCTCAACCTCATTTATAAAAGGCTAAAGAAGCATACGGAAATGTAACTTTAGGAGGGTAGTTGAATCCAGTCATGTCTCCAAAGGATTGTTTCAAAAGAGATATCCAGTTGAGGGGTCGATGTGCCCTTCTATTCGGCCATGATAGAGACTTTCCAGGGCCACCAGATCTTGAAATCGATTTTCCTCGAACCAGACATTTGTTTGCCAAAGCACGTCTACATTTTACAAGTGATGCAGGGGAAAAATAATACACCTAACACTAATTGTCTAAAAGAACCTACGAAATGTTTCAGAACTAATCCACACCTGTTAGATTAGGTAGGTAATGTTGTCTAAAAGGCGTAGGATAATAAACTCACATGAAATTACGTTGGAAGAAGAGGCCTTTTAGAAGAATTTTTCTTTAATTAATAATAGCTACGATAAGGAAGAAGACAATCCTTTTATGTATATGTTAAATACGACTGTTAATTTTTAGCATTACGTTATGGATTTTTTAATTAAATGTTTACCACTCTTTTTGCTTATGTTCATGCTTTTTATGAAGTTAGAAATTGGAACGTTTCGTGACTCTAAACAAAAATTACATTTTGAAATAGCGTGATTTCTCCGCGTTTAGGGGTTGAGAATATATTTACAATCAGTTTTATGACTCCACGTTGTTGTTTCTTAAGCGAACATAGTATCGATTTGGGTAAGCCACGGTCGAGAACGAGGTTACTGAGGCCAAACCTAATATTTAGAGCCAATCATAAACCTAAAAAAGTACAAAACGACGCATAGGTAACCAAAAAAAGATTACATTACAAGATTAGTTGTGAAATTACTGAGTTCCTCTATTCTTTTCCTTTCATTCAAAATCTAATTATTGTAAGAAAATAATAAAAAATTACAACGTGTAATTATACAACACGCTACTGAAGTGAAACTTCTTCAAACACACAAACATATCGGGATAGGGGTTACGGAATTGGTTTAATGGCATTATTTGTACACTATGAATTTAAATTTTACACTATAGATGCCGGACTTGCCTGTAACGAATGTTGCATTGAAGCGCGCTCACGGCTCAAGCGATTCCCACTACGAACTCATCTACGTGGCCGAGTAGGGGGGGCATCCGTTGCAAGATTTCGTTACATAGCAACTCGCATGAAACGAACTTACCCTACCGTGCGTAAAGAAGTTTCACATCAATAAATGATTTATATTTATTTATTTTACATTACATCCACGGTTAATTAATAAAATTATTCATTTTACGATGTCTTATACTCCATGTGAAGTCAAAAAAGATTATCATCACCAGAGGCATATAAAGGTTGGTGAATTAAGTTGATTTACAAGATGTTTCACAAGCAATGTTGCATTCTTCTTTAGAACTGAAACCAATTATATACTGCTTGTGCAAGGGTCCAATTAGTTTAAAAAGTTTATGTCATATTGTGTATTATTTTACGTATTATGTACCTATTTGTATTACAATCGCAATGACATCGCCAAAATCACGTATCTCACAATTGCAATGTGTTATGGTATTATTAACAGTATTAAAACTATGTGAAATGAATAATTTTGTTGATCAAGATTCATTTAGTTCAGTTGTATTGTTTAACAATGCTTTTGGTCAGATATTCCGAAATTACAAGACGTAGATTGCGATAACCTAACAACCAACCAACCTGAAATCTTCATTGTTTCATTTTATTTTTTATTTTCACCTTCTATGTCATCTTCGTTAGGTACTTACTTATTGGATTATTTTAAAGTAGATTTGAAATTCTACAATAAATACCTATTTATTTTCTTTTCTTCTAGGACGTTGCCTTCATTAATCCAGCTAATGTAGTATTCGTTTACATGCTAGTGAGAGATCTGGTCGAAGACGACATTGATTGCGAACAGGACTTGCAAGCCGTGGTTTTGACTTGCCTCTATCTGTCCTATTCGTATATGGGCAACGAGATATCGTACCCGTTGAAGCCCTTTCTTGTTGAGGATTCAAAAGAGAAGTTCTGGGATCGGTGCCTGAACATAGTGAACAGACTATCGTCAAATATGCTTCGCATAAATGCGGAGCCTGGTTACTTCACCGAAATATTCACCGAATTGAAGGCCTGCGGTCTTAGTAACGTTGTGACATCCAATATGGCAACAGTGACATGCCAAACAGTACCTGTTGTTCCATGTAATACTGGTTCGACAACGGCTGCCTGACAAAAGGAGATAACTGTAGTAAAATTAACTTTAACCGAAGCTCCTACGGTACCGTGCCAGGTTTAGTCGCCGCTCCCATTCCCCATCCATTGTGATACCAACGACCGATATTTATTAGTAGTTTGTACAGAGTTGGCGCAAAAAATTAGCGGAAAAGGGAAAAACGAAAAGAACAACAGTTCAATTCCTCGGAACACGGCGTCGAAAAAATGCTAACGAAAAAGTATGTTCGAAACTAGATCTAACTAATGTATTGAGCGAAAATACAAGAAAGGCTATTAATTTTGCGCATTTAGCAGGCCATTCCAAAACACAATGCTTACTAAACAACGTTTAATTTAGAAAAATTAAAATACTGCGTATCTAAAATGCTAACCAACCATTCGAACAAACCAGAAGTTAAAATTTATTAATCAGATCAATAATTATAATGTTTCTATGAGGTGCATCATGAAGTTATTGGTAAAGGTATATAGGGATGTTTAATTAAAGAATAGGTAACTGCCAGAAAATGTCCGAAATTAAGTGCCTTTTCGTCAAGAGGAATTACAAGAAAAACGAGTTGCTCCCGTTCGTTAGTTCGTTCGTTAGTTGTAAGTTAAATCGTTTTCTTTTTGCAAAATTCGGTTTCCGTTATGTTACGGATCGGGCAATATGGGCGCCATTTTACTTATTGTATTGTCGTATTGCTGCAGGTTGTCAACCGTTCACCGGGTTGCATATTCAGTAATGGCAGACATTCGAGAGGATATTAATGAGTACAGTATTCGTTTATATCAGGTAAATGCGAAGTAGGTATTAATTAATCTTATACCACGGTTACATAAATAAACTAAAACCGTTTTTTAACTAAATTTTGTTTGTACGTATTCCTTGATTCAATTCTGACGCTTTTGGTTTATTTCTCATAATGTTAATATTTTCTTAGTTATGATTTTTCAAACATCTAAACAATTAGAACTGGCATTATCAAAAAGATCTCGAAAAAGTCTTCTTTGTTGGTCTAGTTTTTAATGCCTGTTTACTGTATTATTTTAATTTATAAAAAATTGTAGATATTATTTTTATTGAAAATGAATCAAGAATATTAATACTTTTTCTATTCAAGAAAGGAAACTTTTTGGTCTCTGTTTTAAACATTACCTGGTCGGTTTACAAACTTGATAACCTGCATTTATATACCGAGAAAAATCTCTTTATCACAACCATGAATAATTTAATGGATTTTCCGAACGAATGAGCCAATATTACCCGAACTACTAAGGCATTACGATTAGATGTAAGCTAGTGATAAGCGTTTGAATACAAACAGAAGAGAAGAAAACAATCGAAATTAGTAGAGAAATTTTAGGTAATCATAACTTAAAAATGAAGACGTTACACCCATGACGAGTATTATCAGAACTTCCTTTGTAGAATTTGTTGCAGTTAGAAGTATAATGAGTAATACATAATATGTAGTACCTAATTACTTCTTCGGAATGGCCATTACAATAGTCGATTCTGTAAGTCATTTTTAATAATGACTGTTTATGGCAGAATCCAATTTTAGCTTATTATTTATATTATGAATGTCAGTTCGTTTATCTGACCAATTCTTTATATTATTCCTTAACGCTATTAATGGCTGGGAAGGTGCAATTCAAAAATTCTAGTCTTAAAGAAATACAGGATAANTTTGGAAAGGTTTGGAGGTAGGTCTAATAGCACCATTAATGGAAAAATCATTAATTTCTAATTCTATAGTACACGAAGTTATTATTTTTTTAACGTAATTTGAACCTTCAACAAAAGTTGTTCTAAGAAGGTTGTTCAATTACCTACCGATACCTAATAATCTCACAATTTTCTTAATGTTAATTGTTTAACATCCTACATAGCAACAAGAACCCCCTCGGTTCCACTCGCGCTTGTCCATCACTTTTTGGCAGAAGGTGGCCAAAACCTTACTTCATTTATTGCTAATTTCTAATTGTACGTGGAATTACTATTTTGCAAACTTAATTTGGACCTTCAACAGAAGTTGTTCTAAGAACGTTGTTCAATTACCTAATTACCTATTAATCCAACGAAATTCTTAAAGCTAATTGTTTAACATCCTACATAACGACAAGAACCCTCCGGGTTTCACTCGCGCTTGTCCGTCACTCTGGCATAGAGTGGTCAAAAACTTACTCCATTTATTGCTACGTTTAGAAACAATTTTCGACCTTCCCAGTAAGTTCTTACTGTTGGATACTGTAAGTAAGTATTTACTAATAAAAGTACCCATGTATTTTACTTGTGTTATATACTTATCAATTAAAACAAATTCGATATCAATTAAATCCTACACTACCTTTTATTAGTTATTGAGTATTATTCGATTTTGAAGAATGCGAAAGGCATGTCAACATTTTCCTTATCAAACCTATTGTTAACACCTGAAATTTTAAACAAACAATATTTCTTACAACGAATTTTGATGTATAATATTTACCTATAATAAGTATGTAGGAACGTTTGTTTATACTCGATCCCTCCCTTACCTTTAGCAAATTGCATTTTTATCTATTATATTTGCTTCGTGACCGAAAAATGCTTCCTGCTTCGAGATAATACACGTGTATTTTGACAACATAGTAAAAACGTGGTAATCGTAATTTGTTTTGAAACTAGTGTAGGTAATTATACAGTCTATTAGGATCAGTACATACCAAATTTCATTACTATGTGCCACGGTGCAAAAATTTTTAATAGTTATTGCCTGCCTTTAAGTTGCCATTAAGTAATAGAAAGCTGTATTCACATTTGTTACACATGCTTATATATATATATATGTATGTATACGTATGTATGTGATGATAGGAAATAATTTCAGCAAATGTTGCAAGGACAAACCTAAAACGGTTTTATATTCATATATGCATTAGCTGCAATATTGAACATCAATAAAATTTTAACCTTTATTGTCTAATGTACATTTTTTTTAATAATACAAAACTAAAAATACCTTGTGTTTACGTAATTATTTTAATTAATTAACATTTATTATTTATTGTTAGTTTTAACTGTTGAAGCCTTGGCTTTTAATATAAAATTCAAATTATTATGTATTGGTTTTATCTTTCCACGAAACCTTACGCAAGGAAAGGCTTTTATATGATGCTCTTGCACTCGCTTCTTTTTATATGACATTGTTTGAATGCAATGAGCTTTATTATGCACTGTATATGGTGAAGCTGTAAAAATATTGTACGACAAAGTTCTTCATAAATACATTGTTAAATTATAATCGTTAAACATTTTGATAAAGATCATCGGTACTGTGTACATTTTGATTTTCCGTAGGGTTGATTTCTAATACCTAAAAGGTTTCTGACTTCATTCTTTCTCTGCCATTTTACAGAGTTAATAACATCGGTAAATGTCTAGATGATGGCCCCTACGGGGGTGGGGGTGGGTGCGATCGAAAGAGTGGGTCTCCCCCACCACTGTGCCATAAAAAGTTCGTGGCGGTCTCACCCCCATAAAAACTTGTGGGGGTTAGATGGCGGTGGGGGTAGGGGGGATCGAAAGAGGGTGGTCACCTGGTTAAAACCCCATAAAAAGTTTTGGTGTTTGAAAGTTGATTATTTTGACAATTTTCATACACTATAATTGAAATAAAATTCAATAAATAAAATATTTTCAAGCGGGTGGAGGTAGGGGATCGAAAGAGGGTGGTCACTTGAACAAAACCCGATAACCTAACCTAAGGTAACGTATTGATAAAGATATTTAAATAATGTTTTACATAACTTTCTCAATANGAGTCTCGCTTTCAGAGACTAAGAGACTGAACATTTTTATCTCGGGAAGTCTTAGCCAAGGTTCTGTAACAATGTTTTTTTAATTTTGATGTAGATTTAGACATTGCTAGGCTTGGGAGAAAGATAATTTTTTTGAGGCTTCAACCATTTTCTAAATCTAAAAACATTACTTACCTACCTGTATTCCTGGACTTAGGACAAGGTCAACTGAAAGGCCAAGAAATAATGTAATCCAGTATTGTGAAAATTACTAATTAATTTTTTATATCATGGGGCTTCCCAAAACGCTGGGCCCTATGCCATTGCAGTTATATCATCCCTTTAAATACTTGTTACATTACGATTATATTGCAGCAATTATGAAAAGAAATTCAGTCTCAAAAACGTTAATTCAATTATTTTTTAATACATACGATTTTAGGTGGGTAGATCCAAAATTGTACAACATTATGTGATGTAACAATTACAATATCAATCATCTAATTTTAATTAGTCAATTTACGTAATGTATTTTGTTACGTTATGATCTGAACATTAATCATAAATAATTGCAAATATATCTACTTTTATTAATTATTATAAAAGCATCAGGTGGAAGCTTAAAAAGCAAGCCTGATTGTATTCTTTAAATGTGAAATGATTGATTTATTTGCAAATAATTATATGTAAAAAGAGTTAAGTAAGTTGACATTATAGCATTATATTTAATTTTGTTTTCTCGTGAACCCTTTAAGAATGTCATTTAAAGTTTTTGTACTGTATATAACTCATACCAAAACCTGTTAAATACTCTTAAGAAAAGTATNCTTTCGATCCCCCATCAAGGGGCTAGACCTTTACCATAAAATCAAATATTATTTAAAAAGGATTATATAAAATACAGAATATTTAATTTTTCAATAATTATTGAATTGTGAACGTCAGCAGACATTGTAGGAATTATACACAATTTCTTGGGAGCAAACAAGGGCATGCCAAAGTCATTACCATATTAAACTTTTTTGATTTACCGGTAATTACAGGTATAGGTGTTTCGTTCGCAATTATTCATTTTTCAAGCAATCTGATGTAGATTCAAAACAATTCAAAGCTGCATGGAGATAATAAAAACCGATCAAACATGATTGTGTAACAATGCAGGGTTATTTCGTAATTATATAGTTCACGTAACCTTATAATTACTCTAAGTCTGCTCGAATGTAATAAGAATTAAATAAAATTCGAATAAGCATATCACGGTTTTGTAATAATGAAAAAAGACGTGCACAGGATGGACTTTTTTATATGCGATTGCTACAGCGTAACGTAGCCGACTATTAGAAACAATTAATTCCTCATGCACGGCTTATTTCAATTTCATTGTCAGAGAAACAATCGAAACACGCTATAAGTTATAAACAAATCTAAAATTGTTTCTGGAAAATTTCCATTTTATCAAATATAAATCGACCCCCAAAATACTAGATTTTTAGCCCGAACAGAAGACTGAAACTTTTGGACTGATTTCTAGAAAAAATGATAGAAGAAGACTCTTAACTGTTGTCACTCTACAATGAATAATAGAAATAAACACGTTTAAATTACAAAATGTTTTTATTATTTCCGCGTAGTGCCTTCTTCAGGTGGAAGATTACTAACTACAGTCGAACCTGGATAAGTGGTCCCGTCATTTTGCCCTTCTAAAGCCTCTATAAGTGAGAAACATAAAACCTGTATGAGTGACAGTCGTTTTTCATGCGTGAACCTCTTTATGTGAGATTGCTACTTGTCTATACTTCTATAAGCTGCAGTTTACTTTTGCTATTTTATGACTCGTTCTTAAATTTCAAGAGACTCTTATTTCATTCGAATAACCAAATCTGCGAATGACCGATTAAGTCTTTATTATTTTATTATAGCCAAATGTGCGTACCGACTTGTTTATCAATCTTATTACAGTCAGTTCATAAAAGCAGTTGCGAAGAAAGGTCTTGTACTTCTTCATAATGTCTTAACTAAAACTCAATGTGTTGTCGAACCGTATTTTTATGGATCTCCATAAGTGAGACAAATTCCTCCTGTAACTCTGTAAGCTAGAAACTCGGGTTAGTGAGAAACCTCTATAAGAGAGAAAGAGATCGCGGTCCCTTGAGCTCTCACTTGTCGAGGTTCGACTGTAATTGTAAAATATAAACGCAAATGACTAGCTAAAGGGTTGCGGTAGATAATGATCATAAAAACAATGAAACATAAGAAAATATTCAGATATGTACAGGATCCAAATTAAAGAAGTTTGCTATGGAACTTGTAATTGTATATCGCATACATACCTTGTTTTTATCAATTACTCAATTACCATTAAACGTAAAATAATATTTTATGTGTTGAAACTTTCCTTGAAATATTACTTCTACAATATTTCTATTTTATTTTATCTTGTTCACTTATGACTGGAAATTCTCGTTTATTTTCTAGTTTAATTTTCGCTAAAACGATTAAGAGTGTAGTGATGTTATGAAGAACTATTTCTCATTTTCTCTACCACATGAATCAGTATTGATAATTTTGACAGTCCGTATCAGCAAAAGTTGTAGGTACTCATGTTTAAACCTTTTTGAAGTTAATGTTTAATTAAAGGGTATTATTTATATCCCAAATAGATGGCAATTGCACCTTTGGGATTATGTATTTTGATAAGTGTCTATGCAATGGTAAATACTGGAATTATCAAAAATATATAAATGAACTTAGTTGCTTTTGAAGCCACAAAAGAATAACTACATATGTAGTTTTAAAACAGTTATGAATAAAATACGTACTTGTATACCTGAGCAAATTATTATACTTAATTTGTGGTTAAATTTTACCACAAAATATCTGAATTTCCAAGACAACGACGGATAGTGTTTTTCCACCACAATTTGAAACTTGATGTTATAATAATTAAATTTATTATAGGTGTTAATGATTTTAATACCTTTTGCAATTTTTGTAGTCATACTTTGATTTGTGGGTGCCAATGTACAATGGGTAATTGTTAATTTAATGATTCCCAGATTTAAATATTTTAATGATTATAGCAACATATCATCTGATATGCATTTTGAATAAATTATCGATTTACTTTAATAGTACTTGTACCTACTTAGTTTCAATTTAAATATAGGTACCCATTTATACATAGTTTAGTTTTATTATATGTTTTTTCTAATCTTGTCATGACTATAGATTATTGTAATTAAATACAACTATTGAAGGTCCTTCCATATTAAATGTATTACTTTAATGTTTCTTAAAGACAATTGTTAGACATTAATACTACAATTAGTTGTAAAAACTTAAAAATTGTTATTGGGGAAATGGATTCGTTATTAAGGGAAATTTAATTAACACGCTCTATAGTGATACGTATAAAGTGCATAATAATTTATTTTCGAAATCAATTAGTAATGGAACTAATACAACACCTTAAAGTTTGCATTAGATTAAATAAATTTTAATTGACTTTGTTACTTTTTTTTTTATTATTACCAATCTATCTTGAGCGCAAGTGTTTATGATTCAAAATTTCATTAACTTCTTATTGTTAGCTAGATATTAAAGCGAAATGAAAATTTATTTATATCCTTACCGTTAGTGAAAAGTTTAGAAAACTCATTGATGATTGTTCTCTAAATAATAATAATTAAAATTTAAACGATTTCACGTCAACACTGTTTCGGAATTACCAAAAAAGGCACTATTATTGAATTTTAAACTGAGCACACTTAAGTGATGTTTTAATATTTTTGCTTTGTCGTTAATTTATGTAGTTAACGTGCTGCTGTTATTTTCAAAATTATGTTGTTTAAACGTTGCACTAGTGCGGAATGTAAAATGCTGCTAACACTTTCACGTTTGTTGTACCGACCATTACTGTCTGCACACCAAGAAATACAAGGCTTATCAAAGGTAAAAATGTTGAACTGGCAGCTTAACTACATCGGAAAATTGGCGTGTCTTATTTATTTGCCGAAGGACTGCGTTGAAATAGGCTGAAATTTTTCTTATAAATACCTCACAGCAATTATAAAATACAATATACACATAATTGTTTGCGAAATGCCCAATCTAAGAACACTTTTTATCGAAATTTCAAACAAAGTTTTTGTGAAGTGAAAGTATTATTGGTTTTTACAATATTTTGGTTTTTCGATTGTAAGAACGGTTTGGGATTTTATTTATTAAAGAAGCTGTTACAAAATTATTGTAACAATTAGATGAAGAATTCTAGAATATTTCTGTTTTTTAACAAGAAAAAGGAATTCATTAAATAAATTTTAAAGACAAAATAATACTTATAAAAAATGATTTACAATAGAAAGGATATAGAAGCTTACTAATAACCAAATCTGCGAATGACCGATTAAGTCTTTATTATTTTATTATAGCCAAATGTGCGTACCGACTTGTTTATCAATCTTATTACAGTCAGTTCATAAAAGCAGTTGCGAAGAAAGGTCCTNGAAGAACATACACGAATTATACAAGTAAATTATTAAGATTTAAATATATTCATAAAAAAATGATATCGCTCATCGTTCAATAAAGCATGCATTGCTAAGTTCATTTTTTTGCCGCGGCACTTCTTTGGTAGCGCATGCTAGTGATGTTTGGGGAATCCCTGCTTTCTACTTTTAAAGGACCTTCTTGCACTACGCCAGATTCAAATGAGTACTAACTTTTTACGAAATTTATTTGGGTCTCGGTAAGCTTTTAAAATATATCTATTGGGTTGTTCGGAAAGTCATTTCGTTTTTTCCCGACAGAGGATTTAATTGTATTCTTTTGCACCCAACTTCACATTTAAGCTGTATAATTTTTATATGCTTTGAGAGCACATATAGCAAGGCTTGTGGCTCTCACTTGTCGAGGTTCGACTGTAATTGTAATTTGGTTGGTGC